ACTCCGACCCTTCCCAGCTTGGGTCCTTTTAGTACCAGATCAACTTCATTTATCAGAGTCCCTTCTGGTTCAGATCAGTGTATGGTCAAAGTACATAGGGCCCTGAATTTCCAGACTCTAATATACGAATTCTGTAATTTATGTGATCCTCAAATCACATTCACATTTTTTGGCAATAATTTAACCAGGCTTCTTACTCACTAAAAGAGCTTTTTGAATGGGTTCTGTTATACATTTGTAGTTGCGGCTTTTACTGGCCCTAAATTTCATTTCTCCTCCAAATTCTCCCTTTGGCCTCTGGTACAAGGAACTATAGACAGGTCCAGGGATTGCAATCATCCTCTGGCATAAAACCTGTCACCAACCCAGTGATTAGAATGGTTTGTCTCCATGAGGAAGAAACTCCCAAGATTTTCTGTGCTTTTTCAGCCTGGTTTGCAAAATTGGTAGCATCAAGTACCTGCTGTGATGTGAAAGTCTGTTTCCAGCTTAAACAAGATGCTATTCTTGAAATTCCTACTCACTCTGGGATTGTTTTGGATGGAAGTCAGTGGTCACTACTGTGCCATCTGCCAGACCTCCCCAGCTCTCCCCTCCCCCAGAGATTGCATGCAGGCCCCAGACATGCTGTCGGCCATGTCTTATTCAGCCGTTTCTTATTCGGCTGGTTTTTCAACAGCTGGGGGTCTCAGGTGCAGGGCAGCATTCAGGGAGGAGACACCTCAGAGGCCAGAACAGGGGGATGTGTCCTCAGGGGTCAGGAGAAGTGGGACAAGGACCACATTGCACTGAGCACTGTTTAGGGTTTCCAGACCCAATTGCAATGTGAGGCTTCCACACACCAAGCAAACCTCAGACACCAACAGGATGTCTAGGAATTAAACTCAGCTCTGACACTATCTGCAGAGAGATGGCATCAGACTCCACAGGTTTAGGGCTCGGTCTCTCAGGACCACCCTCCACTTCAGACACTCATCATGAGCCCAGCGTCTTCCCTGTGCTTGTGACCAACTGGCTAAGATGGAAGTTTTCTACAGTCCCCTCTTGAGGTTCAATTAACTTGCTAGAAGAGCTCACAGAAATCAGAAAACCTACTTACTCACTAGATTATCAATTGACTTTGAAGGGTATTATTCAGGAAGAATCAGTTGGAAGAATGTATAGGACAAGGAAGAGAGAGGGTGCAAAGCTTCCATCCCTCGCAGGCACACCATTCTCTCCCAAAGACCCACATGTCCACCAACATGGAAGCTCTTCAAAACCTATCCTGTTAGGCTTTAGGGAGGCTTTATTACACAAGCATGATTGGCTGTATCAGTGGTCATTGAAAACTGAGCTCAATCTCCAACCTAGGAGTGGGGGAGTAGGATTGGAAGTTCCAACCCTCTAATCACCTGGATGGTTCCTTTGGCAACGACCCCATCCAAAGGTGCCTCGCAAAAGTCACTTCATTCACATAACAAGAGACATTTTTATCACTCTCAATGATTAAGAAATTCCAAGGCTTTTGGACTCCATGAACCAGGAATCATAGATGAATATTAAATACATTTGCGAAATGTGTATTTAGTCATTTGGCCAAATATATATTTTTACATGTCATGAACACCTATCACACTAGAGCGACTTGGCTTCCATTCCATGCCCCTCAGTAATTCAGGAGGTGGATTTCACATTGCCATTTCCCTAATTAATAAAACAGTGTTTCGGAGAGGAGACCTCACTTCTCTAGTACGTGACAAATACACAGCAGAACCAGACTCTGAATCTCATAGTCTCTTCTGCCTAATCCTCCTGGGGTACAGACAGGTGTGGCAGACAGGAATACTATGACCCAGGGCTCAGGGGGTAGAGTGGGAGTGTATAGAGTTGGCTGCAACCTGCTTTGAGGTGTCAGTCATGGCACTGGGGGTCTACACTGTTTTTCTTACAACCAGACAAGTGCAAATTGGGCAAAGTGAACAGGCTGAGACTTCATGTTCTCAACTTCTGAGCCCCCTTCCAGATTTAGGATTCTGGGATTCTGTGTCAGAGTGCCGTTTTCCCCTTTAATTTCCAGAGAGATGTGGACAATGAGCTAGATCCACAGAAGATGCTTCGTCAGTGGGGGGTGGGTGGGTGGCAGAGTGCTTGGAGATACTCTCCTAGGCCCTCAGTGCACCCCAGCTGAAACTGACAGGCCAGCAGGTTTCAGTGCTCATGGCACTTGGTGCTTTCCCCTGCCTGGGTGCACCCCCCTCTCCCCAGTCTCTGTCAGGGGACCAACTCCACATGCGCCTTTCAGGGTGACTCTCCACTAAGCTAGGTTCTGACAGCACTGCTCAGCAAGGACAGTGGGTTTATAGTAATCAGTGGTGGCATGGAGACCAGCTAGGTCACTAATTCTTGATCTGATGGTGACCTGGACCAACTGGGCAGGTGGAAGTTGTGAGAAATGCCTGTACATGGCAATGCCCCTTCCTCCAGGAAGCTTGCGCCAAGCTCCTGAGAAGTCATCTCTGCCTGCAGAGTCCCTCTGCTCCTAGCCCTTCCCTGTCCTAGCACATCTCCCCACCGTGCACTAACACTGGGTGAGGACTCAGCGCCAGCTTTCTGGGTCTTGGCTTCCTCATATGAAAGTAAGTCATTATGGAGGAGAAAGTAGCCCTCCTTCACAGGCCTACAGTGTGGATAAAACACAATCCTCTGCTTATGCAGTGACGTAGAATGACACACTGGGATCCCCCAGTAGCCTTGGGACAGGGCATGGTGGTGGGCTCTGTGGGAACACAGGTGGGGACTAAACCCTGTCTGTAGGGGAGCAAAGACTTCCTTATTCTATGCATTGTCCCCTGAGTGATCTCCTGCTACACTGAGGGGAGGGGTGAATGTGTCTGACACACTCACTGTCCTCCAAGCCCTGCCACCTGACTCAGAGAAGAATGAAACAAATGTCTGTGGTATTGGCATAAGTCTGGGATGACCATTTTGTCCTGGGGTGAAAACTTCTGCATTCCAGGAAACCCTTCAGTCCAGGGTGCACCAGGTAGTTCAGCTCCCAGTATGGCCCTGGCCCTAGTAGTCACTAGCCAGGTGACCCTGGGCCAGGCCCTGCCACTGATTTGTCCTGCCCAGTGGAGCCAGTGGTCAGTGCTCAGGTCCTCACCTCAAAACCTCTGTCAACTTGGTTGGAAGTAAGACAGAAATGCCAAGACCTTCTGTCCTGTCCCCAGGGTGATGCGGTGAAGTCTGGCAGCACATGCCCAGCTCTGGAGCCCAACAGCAGAGTGGGAATGTTGGTTTCCTGGGGCTGTTGTAATCAAGATCACAAAGTATAAGGCTTAGAGCAACAGAAATGTATCCTTTCACAGTACCAGAGGCCAAGATCAAGGTAGACAGTACATGCTCCCTCTCGAGAGTCTAAGGGAAGATATGACCTTGCTTCTTCCAGCTTCAGGTGGCCCTGGGCACTCCTTGGCTAGTAGCCACATCACCACCTTCTTTGTGTGGCCTTCTCTGCATGTGCTCAGACTTGTTTTATAAGGGCACCAGTTTGCGTCAGAGCCTGCCTAATCCAGCATGACCTCATCTTAACTTGACTCCATCTGCAGACAGTCCAAATAAAGTCTCATTCATAGGCACAGGGGTTTGAATATATCTTTGGGGGTTGGGTGTGGCAAATATAGTTCAATCCATAATAGCAGGGTAGACCCAGCTGCTCCCCAGTGGTGATCTAAGCTGTCAGCAGTGGGTCTCCCTTCTCAGGACTCAGCAGGTACACACAACAGGGAGGGAGAAGCAAGACATGCTGCAGTGACGACACAAAGGCCCTGTCCTTCACAGGCTGAGCACATGTGCGCCTCCCATCCCTCGGGAACCCAAGCTGGGTGCTTTTGGCTTGAACAGGGTATCAAACCATTAGACACAGAATGGCAAATTGTTATGTTCTATAACATATATTGTTTAGTTTTATTCTTTTAAGGAGGCCACAAAGTTTCAAAGCAGGTAGTTCACATTCCTGTGTATTTACCGGTGTGCTCAGCATGGCCAGCTCCTCCTGTCCTGGTACAATGAACTGTGAAGCCTGAGGCTCTGGACCCCCAACTGTGGGGGCAAGCTCACACTGGCCTCTCACAGCAGCAATGGAAGAGATGTTCCAGGGTTATGGGAACTGTGTGTCTTTCACCCAGGCCTACACCCAGGGGAATGCCACCCTCCCAGTAGGAGCTCAGTCAACACTGGCTTCTGATGGGCCTGTACGGAGACAGTATGGCCTCAAGGCAAAGAAGCCTATGCCTCCTTTCTTTGTGGTTTCCACATTGCCTCCTATGGTCCATACTAATTAGCCCATCACCCATAAAGTCCAGACGCTACCAGCCTTGCCAGGAAGTCTGGCACTTCCTCTGTGTCCAGGGTTGCTTCTAAAGTTCCAGGGCCAGGTGGTTACAGGCAATGTAGTCTCCCTGGATGGAGCCCCTTGCAGAGGTCTACAGAAGGCTGACCTTCACCTTGTCCTTCCAGATTGTCATCCCCTTCTTCAGCCTGCTCATTAAAGACATCTACTTCCTAAATGAGGGCTGTGCTAACCGCCTCCCCAATGGACATGTCAACTTTGAGGTGAGATCTAGGGGCTTTGGGGGATGGGGAGGGGAGAGGGACCTCCAGTGAAAGCTCCAAGAGCAGTTGCTGTGACCCTTATTGGTTGGGACTATGGGGGACTCTGAGGCAAAGGATAACGAACCTCAGATTATCCAGATCATCCATCCTCCCATCCCCCAAAGGCGAGTGATGTTCATTTGGGCCTTGTGCCCAGCACAGGGCAAGGAGAATAATTTTGAACCCTTGAGGAGCACCAGGTTGATGAGAAAGACAGCCCTGCAGACCACAGTGACAACTTGTGAGGTGACAGAGCACGGCGCCTGAGGGTCAGAGGACCTCCCAAAGGAGGGGCCCTCAACAGCCAATGGAAGTGATCAGGCAGAGTGGACAGAAGGGATGAAAGATTTCCATTCCCTCTGCAGTCAACGTAGGTGTCTCCTCTTCCAAGAAGCCCCTTGACCATCAATGGAGGGAGTCCAGGGAGTCCTTGTGCAGAGCTGGGACACCTTTTATCACAGCACCTAAGTCTCCAAGCTCCTCAATATCTAGGCCAGACTCCACTTTATGTTCCAAACCCATGCCCCCACCACAGGCCCATCCAGCATACCTGTGATCATGTGGGGTAAACCTGATAGGGGTGGGCCCAGGAGCTCTGAGGGCACTGAGCAGTGAGAGCAGAAGGCCACTGAGTCAGACAGACAGGCATCTGGGCAGTGGTTGAACCCCCCAGATTTGCAGGAAGGATCTTCTAAGAAAGTGCTGGCCCCACCCAGCCTCCAGCTCCAGGGAGCAGCCGTTCTGGGTTGGCCCCTGTTCTGCCTGAGTTCCAGGGCCTCCCCATGTGGAGCAGACCTTTGACCATGGCTGCACAGGGCTGGAAGCAGGGGTCCCTCATGGCCCACCAAGTGCTCTTCAAGTGCCCCCTGCTGATGAGCCCTTTGGCCTGGAGCTGCTCTGCTGTTGGTCCTTGAATGAACCCCAGCTCCCCCCAGGACACCTTCCCTGGCTTCCTGAAGGCCTGGTCACCCCTGATGGTCAAGGGAAATAAAACCCAGCAGGTGGCTGAGAGCTACATCCTGGGGCCAATCCAAGCTGGAAGTGACACTGAGGAAGCTGGGCTTGGGAGGGATAGGAGCCCCAGAGACCCACATCTCATTCTCCAGGTGACCCCATACAGCTGAATATAGAACTTCCTTTTCTTCTTTCCCCTTTTTGAACTGGTCCCAAGAACCAAGGGCAAGGGAGAAGGACAGCACTGCAAGGTGCAAGGTGTTCATATGCCCCAGATTTGGGACATAGGCGATGTGGCCTGGAAGCCGCCACCAAGGCTGGTCAAAGGAGGCCAGAGTAGAGCTCCCAGGCAACACTTTGAGCTGCAATTATTGAAAACCCTTCTTCCAGTGGGCAAAGTTTATTTTGCTTTTAAATAAAGGTATTTAAATTTTACTTAAAATTCTACTTAAGTGGATTTTTTTAGTAGATTTACTTTAACTGTTTTTGTAACATTTAAAAAAGTGAACAATCGCTTATCACTTGCTATAGACAGAGATAATCTCAAAAATAAATAGCACGAAACTCAGGTCAGCCACTCCCCCTTCTCCAAGACTCCCAGAAGATCCCCGAAAGCAAGGGCAATGCTGAACCCTATACTGTTTCTTCCTGTACATACACCTATGATAAAGTTGATGTATAAATCAGGCACAGTAAGAGATTAACAACAATAATAAAATAGCACAATGATAATAATATACATATGTTGTACATAGCACACACGTAACATGAAAGTTATTTAAGTATGGATGGATCCTTCTCTCAAAATATCTTATTGTATGTGGTATTTTCGGACTGTGGCTTTTTGCAGTTAGTGCCACAGAAGACAAGGGGGCACTGCTGCCTTGACTCGGATGTATTGTCTAAGAGGCTGCAGCCTGAGACTGGTGTTCCCCTTCCATATGGGGAGCTGGTGAACCTTAAGTGTTGAGACTCCTCAGAGGGAATGAAGGGAGGAGATGAACACCCAGGTTTCCTAAAGGGAGATTCTGTCATTTATTGCCCATGTTCCAACCTCTCGACCTGCGAGGTGGTCTCCCCCGGGGTACTATGGGAAGCCATGCCGAGACCAGCTGCACATTCTCCACTGCACAGGTGGGGTTGAGGGAGAGCATCCATTTTTTTGTCTCTATGACTCTGGCAGAAATTTCTGGAACTGGCCAAGCAGGTTGGAGAGTTCATCACATGGAAACAAGTGGAATGCCCCTTTGAGCAAGATCCCAGCATCGCCCACTACTTGCACACTGCCCCCATCTTCAGTGAGGATGGTAAGGTGACCCTATGATCTTCCTCATGCCCAGCCACAGGACTCGCGGGTGTGTCTCAGTCATATCACCATGCAGGTCCCCAGCTCTGCAAGACACCCAACATGGCCCAAGGAGCTGTGAGTTGAGACTTTGAGAGTCCCCAGGGCCAGTCCCCCACACAATGTGTGTAGGTGCTGTTAAACATGGCAAACTGATTCTCCACGTGTCTGAACCCAGTCGTGAGGAAAGTGGAGGTGGCGAGGAGAACCTCCCTCTCAGGGTTTTCATAGGGGTAGGGGAGCAGCAGACTGACCGAAGGCCCTCCTACAGCTGGTGGATGTGTGCATGTGTGTGTAAGCATGATAGTGAGCGTGCATGTGAGCATGAAGTGCAAGCATGAGTATGTCTGCAAGTGTATGCACGTCTGTGAGCATCTGTATTTGTGCACATGCGCATTACACACTGGCGAGGGGGAGGTGTCTTTTCTCTGGAGTACTGTTAATGTCTGTCACCTGCAAAAAAATCAGTATTTCCATCTGATCTTTTGTCAGATACAAGAGATTGTTTGAAAATTTCCTAAGTGAGTGCACTCCAGGAGTCCCCTCCTATAGGAAGGGAAAGTACTGGAACAGCAAGTGGCCTTCTGGGCCCTAGGTGATCATCCCAAGGGGTGGGGTGGGCCCATGATTAACTGCTTTCTGGATCCAGGGCTTCAGATCACCTTGGCAGGTCCTGCTCAGCACACAGAGCACCTGGCTCCTTATCAGGGCAAACATTTTACAAAATTCAGGAGAGCATTTTCTGCCAAAACTGAAAAATTAGGGGGAAGGTTTGTTTTTTTTTTTTTTGGTTTTTTTTTTTTTTTATTTAAAAATTAGGGGGAAGGTTTGTTTTTTTTTTTTTTAGTGATTTTTGCTTTTTGAATTAGTAATACTTTCATCTTTGCTGTTTAATTTTTTATATTTTGGAGCTATGATTTTTTGGAAAGGGGTCTCCTTATAGCTGCAGCCCCTCCCCCAAACCAGCAGCTCACCCTGGGCTTCTCCCTTCTCCCTGCCCCCACAAGATGTATGAGGCTGGACCAGTTCCTCCTCGTATTCTGTAAGCCTCACCTGCTGTATCTGCAGGGTGTGGCAATAAGAGGACCCACTCCCCAGGGCTCTGTCTTTGTGGTGAGAATTACAGGAGTTGACCCAGGCAAAGCTTCCAGGACTGGACTCAATATTCATTTTACTCATTTCCGAGCAGTGCTATAACAAATCACTGTAAATTGGCTGGTTCCCAATAATATAGGTTTACCCTTTTGCAGTTATTAAGGTTCGGAATTCAAAGTCAGTTCCACCAAGCGAAACTTAGATGTTAGCAGAGCTGACTACTTCTGAAATAAGAATCCCTTTCCTGGCTTTCTATGATTCTGATGGCCACTTATGTTCTTGGGCCAGTGCCCCTTCTTCCATCTTCACACTGCATCCTTCCAGCCTCTATTCTACCATTATCTGTAGGCAAGTTTCCTTTGGTTCTCTCTTTAAAAAATACTCATGATTGCATTTATGGCCCACCTGCTTAGGACAGGAGATTTTCCTTCTCTCCAGATGCTTCATCATATTTACAAAATTCCATTTGCCCAGTGAAGGTAATATTCATAGGCCCTAGGGATGAGGATCTGGATGTCTCTGGGAGCCATTCAACTTACTGCAGAAGTTATTATGAGCATTGCAATAAGCCAGTAGAACTTGAACTATAAAATGTGTCAAAGGCATATTATGAGAAGGTCAGGAGGAGTCTAGTCGCAAGGAAGAGAGGAAAAGGCATTTTATTCACTTCTTCGGTTAAGGTTATTTCTAGAGAGGCCTGCTGTGTGCCAGGCAGCAATCTGGCTGTGAATATACAGATAAAAGACCAGCCTAGCCTTTCTGGCTCTCCCTGAGAGAGGAGTACCTCCTATTTTGACTCTCTCTTCCCCAGTCCCTCCTACACCCTCCATTCCCAATAAAAGTGCAGAAATTCAGAAGGGACCTAATATATACTGAGAATTGACTGGGTCATTAATAACCTCTGTCAGAAATTCCGCCCTATCCTAAGCTCCAAGCCTCTTCTGACAGTGTCTGCCTGGCAGTTCAGTCAGCCTTCAACTCCCTGAAACAAATGGGAAAAAAAAAAAGTAGAAAGAATCAGGAAAGAAACAGAAGATATAAAGGACTAAATGGAAATTTTAGAACTTAAAAATATAATAATTGAAATAAAAAGCTGGGCAGAGTGACAACAGAATAAAGAGAAAAGGATCAATGAACTGAAAGATGGAACAAAAGAAATTATACACAATCTGAACAACAGAGAAGACATTGACTGAAACAGCCTCAACAATCTGTGGGATATAACAATAGATCTAACACTCATGTCAGCAGAGTCTGGTAAGGAAAGGACAAAGAGCCAGAGTTGAAAAGTATTTGAGGAATTACTGACTGGAAGTTTCCCAGGTTTAAAAAAGACAAACCTAAAGATTCAAGAAACTGAGTGAATCCCCGAAAGACTAAACCCAAAGAAAACTGTATCAAGAGACATGGTAATGAAATTTTTAAAACTAAGGGGAACAAAACAAATCTCAAACACTACAAGAGAAATGACACTTTACCTGTATGTGTGTGTGTTGGGGGAGAGAAGAGGGGACAATTGAAATAACCAGAGGCACTAGCACACTTTTCAAAAGCTGAAAGAAAATAACCACTGACCCATAGTTTTATATCAGCAAAAATACCTTTCAGGAATTTAGATAAATCAAATGGAAGAAAGACAAGAAAAATAAAAATGATAAAACAAAAAATGAAAAGATCAAATGGCAGACTTAAGTCCTAACATATTGATAGTAAAAGTTATAAACACAACAAGTATTGGCAGCATGAAACATTTAAAAACACGACCCAGCTTTATTTTTTCTACAAGAAATTCATTTCAATTTTGACATAGACAGGCTGAAGAGTAGAAGGATGGGAAAGATGGGGCATGCAAACATGCCCAAAGCAAAACAGGAGTGGTGATTTCAATATCAGGTAAAATAAACTCCAAAGGAAAGAAAATTACCAATCGCTATAAACAACAAAAGAATAAAGCTTTCAAGAAGACATAGCAATCCTAAATGCATATATACCAAGAAACAAAGATGCAAAATTTATGAAGCAAAATCTCAAGAACTGGAACAGATCCGCAATTATAATTAGAGACTTCAACACCCCTCTCTCCACAACTGATAGAACAAAAGATGAAAACCAGCAGACATAGCACTTACTGTACTATCAAAAAATAAGATCTAGTTCACATTTATAAACTACTCCATAAATCTACAGCAGAAGACATTTATTTTCAGTTCCCTATGGAGTGTGGACCAAGATAGATCATATCATGAGCTACTTAAAACTAGCTGCAACAAATTTCAAGTAAGTGAATTCACACATAGTGGGTTTTCCAATCACAACACAATCAAGGGTCAGTAACTGATACCAATTTGAGACAACAAAAATTACTTTAAATACTTTCTAAAATTCTTTCTAAACAGCACACTCCTAAATAATCCATGAGTTAAATTGGAAGTCTTCAAGGGAAATCAAAAATTATGTGGAATAAGTGAAAATAAATCAAAATGTATAGAAAGCTAAAAATAAGATTGTAGGGATCTTGCAGCACCTAGTGTATACATCAGAAAAATGGAAAAATACCAAATTACCTACATATCTTCATCCAGAACTTAGAAAAAGACAAGTGAAATAAACCCAAAGCCAGGAGAAGAAAGGAAATCAGAGGCTGAGAGCAGAAATAAACAAAATGGACAACAGAGCAACAACAAAATTAAGTAAACAAAGGGTTGGTTCTTCAAATATGCATAACAAAACTATCATCTCCCAGCAATGAGTTTCTTTCTCAGGGAGGAAGGCAGAAATCAATAACATCACTGATGAATAGGAAGCATCACCACAGACTGCCAACATCAAAAGGCTAATGCCTATGAACTCTGCACATAAATTTGGTAATTTAGATAAAATGGATCAATTCTGCAAAACCCTAACTGCCAAAACTTAACTTGAAATGTGAGTATTAAGGAAACTGACTATTTAATTTAAGACACTGAAAATGAAATGTCAAGTTCTAAGTGGAATTCTACCAAATATTAAAAGAATTGGGCCCTCCCTGGTGGCACAGTGGGTTAAAGCACTGCACTAAGAAGCTTAAGCCACTTCTGCATGAGTTCGATCCCCTCCTGCCCCGGAGGAGATCCACATGGCACGGCAGACCTCTCCTGACCTGCCTGCTGCTCCCCTCAGCAGTGTACTTCGTCGATCTGCCTGTTCTGCTCCCTGCTCTGTCCCTGGTGAATCCTCTCACCCTCCGCCTCTCTGGCCTGTACCCCAGTTCTGTATGAATAAATAAATAAATCTTTAAAAAAAAAAAAGAAGAAGAAGAAGAATTAACACCCATCCTGCACAATCTCTTTCAGGAAAGAAAAGCAAAGGGAACTTCAGCTTTATTAATTCAGTATGACCCTGGTACCAAAGTCAGACAAAGACAATATAAAAAAAGAAAATATAAGGGCTCTCCTTGGGGGCGCAGCAGGTTAAAGCATTGCATTATGAAGCTCTCCGAAGCCACTCCAGCAAGAGTTCTATCCCCAGCCAGGGCATGGTAGACCTCCCCTGACCCGCCCGCTGCTCCCCTCAGCCGTGTATCTCAGTAAATATGACTGTTCTGCACTCCACTCTGTCTCTGGTGGATCTTCTCACCCACCACACCTCTGGCCTATACCCCAGTTCTGTAAGCATAAATGAGTAAATCTTTTAAGGAAATAAATAAAGTATATACCAGATTAAAAAACAAACAAGCAAAAAAAAAAAACCCTTAACAAAACATTGGCAAATAAAATTCCATACTATAAAAAAAGATAGTGTGTCATGAGCAAGTGGGTTTATTCCAGAGCTGCAAGGTTATTCACTATTTGAAAGTCAACCAGTGTAATACACCATGTTAACAGGGTAAAGGAGAAAAATCACTTCATAAGTCATTGATGTAGAAAAAGCATTTTCAACACCATACATGGTAAAAATTCTTAGAAAAGTTGGAATAAAAGGCCAAAGTTGGTAAATTGTATCCATAGAAACCCTTTAGTTAATATATTTAATGGTGAAACACAGAATTCTTTCCCACTACAATTGGTGTCAAGCCAAGTATATGTACTCTTGCAAGATAAATCAGTACAATACGACAAGAAAAGACACACTGGTGAAAGGGAGAGTTAACATTGTCACTAATTATAGAAAAATGTCCTAAAGAATTACAAAAACTCCTAAAATTTTTAGCACATCCATGGTTGCAGAATGTAAGGTTAAACAGAAATTATTTCTATACACTACCAGTGCTTATGTGGACACCAAATTTATAATCCCTCAAAAGAATTCTAAGGTGTTAATCAGTTCTTCCCAAATTTAAGGGCAGGTTTAAAGAAATCAAAATCCTTGCAAGGCTTGTAGTAGATATAGACAAGAGTATTCTAAAATGCATATGGAAAGGCAAAGGAATAGCATTGCTTAAACAATTTTGAAAAAGAAAAATAAAATGGGAGGGACACCCTACTCAGTATGAAGGCTGATCTATATCAAGACAGGTGCTGGTGTATGGACACATAATATAACAGAGAACCCAGGGGAAAATCCATGGAAATATACACAATGATTTTTTTTAAGATTTATTTTATTTATTTATGCATACAGAAGCTGGGGTGTAGGCCAGAGGGGGTGGCGACTGGGAGGCGGGCGCTTGAGAGGATTCACCAGAGACAGAATAGGCGGATCTACTGAAACAGGAATCCAACTCATACTGCAATGGCTGCAGATAGCTTCAGAGTGCTGAGACTTAACACCTTATGCACCAGAGAGGCCCCTATACTCAATGATTTTTGGCAAAAGCTTATGGAATTCAGTGGAGGAAAGATAACCTTTGAACAAATAGTCTTGGAGCATTTGGACATCCAGAGACCAAAAATAAACCCCGACCTAAGTCTTATACTTACCCAAAAGTTAAGTCCAAATGGATCACAGACTTGAAAGTAAAATGTGACACTACCAAATGTTTAGAAAAAAGGCAAAATAAAATCTTTGGCAGGGAGGGCTAGACAGAGTTCTTACAAGCGCTGCACGCAGCTAGGATGTGCCTCAACCATTGCACTGCTGGACTAAGTGGCGTCGAGACACGGGGACAGGCAGACATGACTTACTACGGTTCAACTTAAAACTCTAAACTTTACGACACTGTGAACGCAATAGACTTTCGGGTGGAAACTGTGCTCTGGATGAGTCTTGGTCTTTTCCCGGGGTGGTGAGGTGCTGCCCACCGACGCCGGCGGGGGCAGCTCTGGGCAGCTCCCACGCGCACCCGCGCGCGCCGCCCTGCAGGCCGCCTTCCCTTTCAGTCCCGTGTTCCCTAGATTACACGAGATATTCACAGCTTGATTTGTGCTAGGCTCTGTGCTAGATGTTTGTGCCCAACTCTACGTTTCTGTGAGCTTTTTGAGCAGGTTTGGCTAGGCTCCGGCGTTTGGCGTAGTAAGGGCACTTTCAGCTCAAGGTATTTCCCACTTGGTGATGGGTTCATCACAACATAACCACATTGTCAGTCAAGGAGGATCTGCTTGTGCTCACGAACAAAACAAAACACTGCACACCCGTGGCTACAGCAGCTTTATTTGTTACAGCCAGGCTCTGGAAGCAGCCAGATGCCCCTCAGCGGGGGAATGGTTATGCAAACTGGTATAACCTACTGCGGAGGATTACTGAGCAACAAAAGGGGAAAGGAACAAAATATTGATAGATACTACAACTGGGCTGAGAATTGCATTGAGAGAGAAAAACCAATCCCAGAAGGTTACATAGTGTGTCTTTCTGTTTATATTCTGGAAAAACAAAGTTTAGAAATGGAGAACAGACCAACAATTGCCTAGAGCTACACTGGGGGCCGCTTGGGAGGCTACAGGTGGCTGGGAATGGGCAACCTAGGAGATCTGGCTGGTGATGAGAATGGTCTCTGGTTGACTGTATGGGTGTGAATAACTGGGGATGATGTGTCTGTAGTTTTGAAGTGGTTTCCCCTGGGGGTCCAAGCTACACTAACCTCTGATAGTTCTTACAAAAGCATGCGAGTCTAAAAGATCTCCAAAAACAGTTTAATTTAAAAACAAAAAGCAGGTCAGGTTCTAGGTATAGAACCACTTATACTATCAGCAACCATAACTGTGTCATTTCACTTCATTGTCTGACTAGGTCTTTATTTGGCTTCTTATGAAAGTGAGAGTCCAGAAAACCAAACAGAAAAAGAGAGGTGGAAAGCTCTAAGGTGAGTCTGTGTTGGGGTGGGGTGGGTGGGGGAGGGTGAAGGAGAGGGTTGGTGTGCAGACGGGGCCGGGACCTCGTGGAAGCCCCATCAGCTATGGGGATGGGCAGGTCACGCCAGGACTGTAGGGGTGAGAGTGGAACCCGAGGGCTGAGGTAGGGAGACAAGGCTGGACCACACCCTCCCATGACTGGTGGCTGCCATAGTTGGCAGCCGAGATGTCCCAGGACCCCCTAGTTGTTGAGCTTGAGTGTGAGACACACACAACCTCCTGATCAGTGGACATGTTAGCACAGTTGAGGGCCGGTCAGGCATGGCCCCCAGCATCTGACTGAGACTGAGCCACAAGGCCAGCCAAAAACCCCTCTGGGGTGGAAGGCGGCCAGCTGAGAAGGCACTGTGCTGGAGGGAAGGCCTCTCATCATCCTCTGCTTATCTAAATCTGTAGGTCTTCTATTTTGGGGAAGACGTGAGCAACTCGGAGCTGGAGGTGGAGGAGGCGGAGGAGAGGAAGCCAGCAGAACCTTCTGTAGCCTTGCCTCAGCTGGCCCAGTAAGCAGGGAAGACATTGGCACTTCGCTACTTTGCAGATTTGGCGCCCACCAGTGACCACACAGCACAGGAAACTTTCTCCCACCTTTCGTGGAAGCTCAGCCCTGGCAGGGCCAAGGGCCCCCAGACCTGAGGTGACCTGTTCCCCTGAGGGCCCGGCTTTCAGGATGGTGAGGACCATGTTGCTGGTCAGCCCGTCTGCCCTTAGGGGAGATGCGGCACCCACCCTCAGTCTGTGGCCGGGTGGCCTGAGAGCCTCTGCCTCTCCAGCAGCCATCACGGTGACATGAGAGGGGTTGTGAGCCCCCCAGTGACCCCGCCACTCTGCTGACGGACCTCACACTGCCTTGGTGGGCTGTTTCTGCAACCCCATGCACCTCTGGATCCTGCTGGTATCAGGGGACAGCTTTCTGGTGACAACTGTGAAGCAGCTCAGCAGGACAAGTTTGAATCATGGAGTTGATAATGTGTACAGTTCGTTGTAAACTAGAGTTGACATAAAGGCACAGTCATACAGCCTGCACGGCCATGTCCATGCTGCGTCTCACCTGTGGGCCTGAGCAGAGCTCCTGCTGGGACACAGCATAGGTCCCTGCTTATGGAGGTTGTGGGTCACATGGCAACTGGAGACCACTGCTGCTCCGGAGGACCCTGCACTCACAGGGCCTGCTGAGCTGACACCAGCACTCCTCTCTGGTTGCCCTTGGGGTGGAAGTGATGAAACCAGAGAGTCTTCTCATGCTACCAGGAGGCTCCCCCACCCCTCCCACCCCCGTGAAATCCCCATTTAGCATCTCGTGCACTGAGCCAAGTTTCTTTTTCTTTTTCCTTCCTCCTCCTGAGCCAAGTTTCTGGGCCAGAAACTGATGAGTCATTGGGTCCCTGAGTCTACACCTGGCATGTGAAAAGCTCACCTGGCCAGGAAGTCAGGGAAGGCAAAATGGACCTCATTCTTTGTCCGGGATCTGCTGGGCAAAGGGCAGGGTGCTCCCGGCTGTGCTAGAATCTTTGAAGGCCGGGCCCTACTTGATAGCATGCTCAGCTACCCTTGAGTCATACCCCCACATCTGATAGCAGGCAGAGACAGGACACCCAGTCCCCAAAATATTCCCCCGCCCATGGGTTGTGCCCAGTGAACCCAGGACCTCGGCAGAGCCTGGCAGCCAGCAACCTGGTGGAGCATGGGAACACTGCATGTAGGGGGTGACAGGGGGTGCTCTGGGCCCCAGCCAGCCCACTGCCTTTTCAACTGAGACCCAAGAGGATGAGTAGTGCAGAAAAAAGGGTCTGGGTGGAGGCCTTGAGCCAAACCCAAGGAGTCTTGGTAGTCCCAGATGCTGCTGAGAAGCATCTCATGGCTTCATCCCTGCCCAGCCCATCCCTCATGTAGTCCCTGGTATCTCCTTGAGCAACATTAGACAGAACCCTGCAGATACAGTAGGGTTTGTCTCTGGCCCCTGGTCATGCTGAGTTGCCTGTCAGGAACAAAGGCACAGAAGGAGTAAGTTGCCCTGGAGACTCAGAGAGGCGGGTCTGGGCCCATGCCCCTGGAGCTCTGAGAAGTGTGACTGGAATCCAACTCCTCCCAGAGGAGAGCATCTGCTAACCCACATGGAGACAGTACAGTCTGGACACACAGGCCCCAGCCTTGCTGGTCAGCTGGTTCCTCCTCCTCATTCCTAGACAACTCAGTGCAGAGGAAGCCCTAGAATGGAGTTGAGGAAGGAGCAGGTAAAGCCAAGGGGTCTGGGACAGCTGTTCCCCTGCCTCCTGCAGTCCTTCACCCAGGCTCTGGATCCCAACGCTCTCCAGAGCTTGTCCCAAAGACCTCCCTGAGCAGGCCCCCCACACTCTGGCCCAGTTCAACCCTCAGTATCTCCTGCTGGTGGAGCTTGCAGCAGCCTTCTCCTAGGCTGTGGGAAACATGCCGTACAGGACCCACAGCTGCAACTTGAGTGGTTAGAGCAAGCCTGCAGGTGCTAGTGGAGAATGCACCAGGCCAGTTACAACACAGAGGAAACACTGCTTCCCATCTCTTGCTTCTGTGACCTTGTATATGCTGTCCCGCTACCTGCCATGCTGTTCCCTACCTGTTGGCCTGATCAGAGATGCAACTTCAGGTGTAGGTCCCTCTTCTGGGAAGAGATTCCTTCCATGAAGCCCTCTTCTCCACACTCTTTCCCACCAGCTTTCCAGCCCTCTGTGGTCCAATACAGAATGAGTGTCAGGGGAGGATGGTGAAGGGAGACTTGGACCCTAAACCAATAGGGGAAGGGCTACAGCAGGAAAAAGGAGGCAATCCACAGGTAGCCCCACAGAAGATGCGGGGTTGAGAGGGCTCAGGCTGAGTACACAGGGACTCTGTCCAGGTTCTTCTAGGGCTGCCTCCAGGGTGTTCTTCTTAACTGAGCAGCTATTGGGTGCCAGGCCCTCGTACAGCCAGGAAGTCCTACAGAGAATCTGCCCAGGCCAAGATCTTGGTGCCCCTTCTCCAAGCATTGCCTCGGAGTCCCAGAGGAAGGACATCCTGGTTGTGGGCACACAGTTACTTAGCCCCATGCAGGTTCCATGGCCCTTCCCTGACGAGGGTCCCCCTTTGTCCTGCTGTCCAGATTTGATGGCTCACAACAACCTTACAAGGTGGGGCCTACCTGTAAAGCAACTATCACAAGCCTAGGTAGTGCCCAGGACTCACGCCTGCGAGGCCCAGCCTGGCACTGGTGACAGACCCCATACACAAGGCAAGGTTTGAAGCTGCCCAGCTCAATAGTGTGGCAGGTACTTAGACCTCAGGGTTCCATGGCAGTTCGAAGTTCCACTCTGCCAGGAGGCCAAAGAGGAGATGTGGCTTGATTCATTGTCTAACTCTTCTTGTTTGAACCCTCCTGGGAAGGCTGGGCCCTGCTTGGAAGTGACATTGAGTGTTTCGGGGACAGACAGGAAGACTCTTCACTGACTGGGGTTTGCCTCAGAGACTCTGTACTTTGCTTGGGTTCAGAACTGATTTGTTTTGACAGGGGGGATCTGAACCTCTGCTCAGAGGAGACACTCACTGGAGACACTCACCGCCCTCTCATTCCCCACAGTTCCCAGGGAGAGGGTCCAGCCACTTATCCTGGGAGCTCAGACACATTCATGCCCTCTGAGGAAACCTGTGTACCCTCCCTGGTAGCCTCATGGCAGCACCCTAATAACCCCACAGTGGTTCTGAAAGGCATGACCCAAGGAAAACCAAGATCCCTTTCCACAACAACTCAGGAACCAATCAATAGCCACTGTGTGTCTTTTGCCCTTCAATCCCACAGGCAGGCATCAGACCCCAGGCCTGCATCCCCCACCCCCATACCACAGGGCTCATGTAAGTTTCTTGAGTGGAATACACCCCATTCACAATACCCCAAGCAATGTACCCCCAGTTTCCAACTCTTGACAGCTAACCTGCCCCATAATGGGTCAGCAGGGTGAGGAGGCTCAATCAGGAGCTGCTGTCTAGCATGTGTCAACTGAAAGGTCCATTTCACTCCAAAGCCCAGCTTGGAGTGCCAAGCTCCAGACCTGGCATGTGTACATAGCCTAACAAACGTCTGATGTTGGTGCTATCATCAGCTCTCTTGGCACTTGACAAAAACAACACTCAGAAAGGCAAAGCCATAGTCTAGTTCACATGCTCCTGAGAGGCTGGGGTAACTCCCACTAGCCACCTAGTCTTCCAACAGACACAATGACACATGTCTTTTCTCTTAGGTGAGTCCCTGAGCCCCCTGATGTGCCCTGGCTGCCCTTCAGAATCTCATTCATGCTGAAGACAAATTTCCCACTGCCCTCTAGTATCCCTGTTGCACCTGCCTTTCTGTGGACCCAAGTGGGTAAAGCCACACCTCAGCCCTAGCAACAGGAGACAGTAGGCCTCATGCCCCACTACACATCTTCAGTGAAATCAGCTCCATTTTCATGCCCCAGGGCCCTGGGCCAAGAGATATATTCAGTGGGGAGAGCTGGAAACACAAGATGTCTTTTGGCCATAACAGCCCCTGCCCACGGCTGAGCAGGATGTCTGGCTTTGTCTTCATCTGGCATCCCACCATGGGACTCTAAGCAAGACCAGAGAAGTGAGATTAACTGGGAATGAACAAGTTTGAGACATAAACTACAACCCCCACCACTGACCAGCAGACCTTCACCAGGTAGGCAAGCTAAGAGAATAGTTCAGCAACAGGGACGGCAGAAATTTGGTGTGTCAGGGACAGAGAAATAATGACCAGGGAGACCAGCAGAGGCCAGAGGTGAAAGGTCCCACAGGGAAAACCAAGAGCTTAAAGTTCACCCTGAGGACTTTATGAGAGTTTGCGTGAGGGGACCCTTATGGTTAAGGGTCTACTTGACTAGGCCACACTATGCCCAGATATTTGGTTAAACATTATTCTGGGTGAGGGGTGTGTGTTATTTCAGGGTGTGACTAACATGGCAATCAGTGGCCTTAGTAGACTGTCCTACCGATGCAGATGGACTCATGCAATCTGCTAAAGGTCCAATTAGAATAAAAGGTGCAGTAAGGGACAGTTGTGGTCTGTCTGACTACTTTTAAACCCAGATATTATTCTTTTCCTGCATTTGGGCTGGGATTTACATCATTAGTGCTCCTGGGTTTCCACTTGCTCACAGAAGTTCTTACTTCTCAGACTCCATAGTTGTGTGAGCCAATTCCTAAAAACAAATTTCGGCTATATGTCCATCTCTTTTTCATCTTCTTTTATTTACTTATCATCTATCTCTCTCTCTACTATTGGTTCCCCTGAGCCCAAACTAAAATGAGGAGTAACAAGATCAGTTCTAAAAAGATCTCCTGGATACCTTAAACCCAATAATTCCACATTTGTAATATATTTTAATGTAAAATAATGAGATTTTCACAATGGAGAATTAACTAATCACTACATTATTCCTTTCCTTGTAATAGCAGGTGATGTTTGCTCCCCAGCTTAGTCAACAGGCTAGAAACTTTCTGTCTGCTAAGAAGTTCCTCCTGATTCAGTTCTTGGAGCCTAAGTGGAAACAGGCACATTGTCCTGGGTAGACTTACGACGATATGACCTGTGCAACCTTATTGAAGAAAGCTTTGTATCAATTATTTTATCCCTGTTGGTTGAATCGACAGTTACACCCTATTTATTCCAATAATAATCTAACTTGTTGCATTGAGACAGGTAATATAAATCAGTTTGGTTTAAATGAAGGTCCAATACTAACATACAAAACCTCTCTGTCTAAGCCTGCCTTTACATGGCTATGAACTGTAAAACCAGATTGGAGTCAACAACAGAACACACAGACAATAGGGCTTCCAAAATTCTTGCCTAGTGGCATCATAAGCCTCTGAACCTTGTGGTGTTTTACCCCAACGGCAGTCTAAGACATCGAATGTTTACTGTTTCTCTTGCCAGCATCATTTTCCCTGTGCATGATTTAACTGCATGTTGCTTTGTTCTTAGTGACCCCTAAGTGCACAAATTCT